CCCTGTTCTAATTGTTAAGGCCACTACATTACCTGTCTAATACTCTTCGCCATGTTTCCGAGGCGACCCGTGCGGCAGAGCCTCGAGCAAGGAGCACGTCTCCAACAGCTCCATCAGGGAGGGTCGAGGCATGCACAAGATGACCCAGGTAGGAATTCTCGGAAACAGGTCACGCGTGCGAAACTACCCGTTGGAGGGCTTGAGGAATGAACTATCAGAACCTCTGTAAGGGGGCAGGAAGACTGTCTCTGCGATGACGGAAGTGCTTTCCCTACATGGGGGTCTCCCAAAGTAGGGGACCCTAATATAGCACCCTAAATAGTAGGATCCTTATTATAAGTAACCCAAAATAGGGTACCCCTTATTTACGGAAACCCTAAACCCTAAACCCTAAACCCTAAACCCTAAACCCTAAACCCTAAACCCTAACCCTTATTTTCGGAAACTCCCTACATAGGTGCTGAAACATGCAATCTTGCTGTCGTGAGACCTCCGGCCGCAGAGGCCAAAGAGGCGATCCCGACTGCCCTCAAGCTAATATAGGGGCCGTAGTAGTTAGAATAGGGTTTAGGGTTTAGGGTTTAGGGTTTAGGGTTTAGGGTTTCGGGTTTAGGGTTGGTGTATATTCATTCTACTATACTTAGAATGAGCCCCCAGAATAGTGTTGGAAATTATTTGGGCCCCTATATTATGAGGACTGCTGTTGGAGCGTCTCAAAATTAGGACCCCTCTGGCTCTGCCCTCCCGTACAAGGAACCCTATATCCTAGAATGCATGTTAACCGGGCGGGCCCCATATTTTGAAAGAACTCCGCATCCAAAAACTGGAAAACTCAAAAGCTTCCGCAGGCAGCGACTTCTCGACGAGCCTGCTGAGCTGGACCACGGCCATGTTGTATTGCCGTACGGCCACTGGGCTGAGAGCATGTGAGAAACTATACTGCAGCATGGGGCACTGTGCAGGACATCGTTCTTGCGACCGCAACATCTCTCAAATTCAGGTATAGTATGCCGATAACGTCTTGGAGTAAGGTCTAGCACAGTATTAGGCTTGGCACTTTGTGTTAGGAGCGAAGAGGTTATGTCATGGCACCCGCAATACCAAGCCATCAATTCTGAACAACTAGGCCAACCCAGTACCCTTAAACCCTAAACCCCAAATTGCTTCGTAAAGCCCTTTCTGTGTTTGTGTGTGTGTGTGTCTAACTGTGTAACACTTTATTTACACAATAGGTAGCTGTATTTATCTTCATACTGATGTACCGTATATATCGTTGGATATTCCACTTGTGTTGTGCTAACTAGCTGTCTAGTGACCACCTATGTGCTTATTAGCATATATATGTGTATATATATATATATACACATATGTGTGTGTACTTATTTATGTATATATGCATGTTTGTATATGCATATATGCCTACACCTATGTACAAGTGTGTGTGCAGATATGTATAACTATGTGTGCTATCACATGTGCACTTATGTGCATTCATGTATCTTTATGTCTGTTTACGTATCGATCTATCATCTATCTATCTATCGATCCATCCATTCCATCCATCCATCCATGCATCCCGCCGTCCGTCCGTCTGTCCGTCCGTCCGTCGGTCCGTCTGTCCATGGATGGGTCTATCTATCTATCTAGCTATATCTACATCTACATCTATATCTATATCTAAATCTATACCTATATCTATATCTCTCTATCTATATCTGTTTATCTATATCATCTATCTGTCTATCTATCTATCCAACTATTTGTCTACTTCTACCTATCTATGCGTGCAAGTACACACAGAGAGAGACAGACGCTGACCTGCATGCGTGTACAAATGTTTAGCTGCATACAAATATGAACGGACTGAGAGAGATAATTATCAAAGCGCCAGGATGGAGAGGGAGAGAGACACGCACACACACACACACACACAAACCTACCTACACACGCATATGTATACATTCATGCATACGTACATAAATGCATACATAAGTACATACATACATGCATGCATGCCACATATATATTGACATGCATGTATACTTATTTGTGCACTTGCACACCGTCACACACACTGACATTCACGATATGCTGACACCGCATCTACGTGCATGAATAGGTACGCAAACAGAAAAGCTGGCTGACAGAAAGGCTGATACACTGAATGATGGAGTAGTTCATCAGGGTGATTGCTTGTTGTCTTGACGGGTTTCCTCGATTTCTTACAATCTTACTGCGGTGTAATGCTGGATGGCCTGCAAATCACATGCTGTGCCCAAACCAAAAAGCAGCGGCTCTTGCACTGCAATGAGAGGAGGTGGCTTCGTCCCCAAGCTCGAACTTACAGGAAACTACAGGTAGGGAGTTTAGGGCATACAGGGTTTAGGGTTTAGGGTTTAGGGTTTAGGGCATACAGGGATTCTCTAAGGCTTCTACAGAGGTATATAGCTCCTATGACGGTAACTACCCACCTGAAAATGTCCCCAGACTAACAGAAGCTCATTCCTAGACCCTAAACCCTAAACCCTAAACCCTAAACCCTCTTTACACCCGACTCATCTCGGCAATCATTGCGCAAACACGCCGATTTCCGAAGTCTCGCAGCTCCGAATCAAAGGAAACTACAGGTGAGGAGTAGGGTTTAGGGTTTAGGGTTTAGGTGTTTAGGGTTTAGGGTTTAGGGTTTAGGGTTGAGGTGTTTAGGGTTTAGGGTTTAGGGTTTAAAGGAAACTACAGGTGGGGAGTTTCGGGTATATAAGGCTTCTATAGGGCTTCCATAAGTTATATAGGCCTTCTATAAGGCTCCTATAACGGTACCTACCCACCTGAAATGTCCTAGATCGACCCAGGAACCAGAAACGCGAGAGGTAAGGGAGACTGCGCCGGGACACGGAGCTTTCTCCAAACCCCAAACCCCGAAAGCCCTACACAAGCTGTACCTTAACCCCAAATAACCTACATTTTTAAGGACTTATATAAAGAATTCATAATAAGAAACCCTAAAAAAATAGGTTCTTCAGGGTCCAGGTAGGGTTTTGGCTTTAGGGCCGTCGACCCGCGAGGCCACAAATCCGAAAGTTCGAAGCCCTAAATCCAACAGCCCACAGACTCTAAGGGTTTAGGGTTTAGGGTTTAGGGTTTAGGGTTTAGGGTTTAGGGTTTAGGGTTTAGGGTTTAGGGTTTAGGGTTGAACCCATGGGCCCCTGGCATGGGCCCTTAATCCTGGGATCCTTATACACCGACGATCTACCCCATGTGTACCCTTAAGGGTCCCTAGAAAAGGCCTAGGGGTCCATATTAGGGGCCCATACTTCTAACCTTAGACAGACACCTCCTCCTTAAAAGACTCGCTATGAATGGTCGCACCAGAATACCGAAAGAAGCCACTGGGCCAAAAAAAAGTAGTAGAAGAAGGCTCCATTATGGTCAGTATTACGGCTGAGGGTTTAGGGTTTAGGGGTTCAGGGTTCGGGGTTTGGGGTTTTAGGGTTTAGGGTTTAGGGTTTAGGAGTTTAGGGTTTAGGAGTTCTTGTCGGTACTAGTACGATGATTCTCCTTCTTGTTTCGGCGGGGTTGAATGTAGGGCCCTCAAAAACTAGAATAGGGCTTTGGGCTTCTATATAGTATTTTTATTTTTGGAAGGAACCTAAGGAATAATATTGGTAGTTATTTAGGCTTCTACAGTAAGGACAAAGGTCAAGCATTCCGAGTTGGGGAAAGGGGAGGCTCATGGCTTAGGGTTTGTGGACTGGGGACATCCCCCTTCCCTTACAAGGGCTCGATCAGGGTTTAGGGTTCAGGGTTTAGGGTTTAGTGGTTTTTTTTTCAGGGTTCAGGGTTCAGGGTTCAGGGTTTAGGGGTTAGGGTTCAGGGTTTAGGGCTTAGGGTTTAGGGTTTAGGGTTTAGGGGTTTAGATCAGGGATCCAATTAGCCTCAAAGACCCGTGGGTTAAGCACGTCGGGGGCCCGGGCTCAAATCCCAACCCGCAAACCCCATGGAGCCTTCATTCGACCCATTAAAACCCTGTACTGTAGAAGCCTTGATAATTAGAATAGGGTTTTGGGGGCTCCTTACTATAGTTATAGTATAATATACCCCAACACCCTATTCTAATTATTAAGGCCTCTATATTAGAACCCTTGTGACACCGTGCACAACCTGTAGGAAACCTAGACAAACTTGGGGCCCAGATTGTGGCTTCCTATCGGCATCCATTTCTGTGGCCTGGCTGGCCATGTCCGACAAGGAGGCATTTTGAGACCAGCAGACTGTAGGGGCCTTAATAATTGGACTAGGGTTTCGGGAATTCCTTAGTATAATATACCCCAAACCCTAAACCCTAAACCCTAAACCCTAAACCCTAAACCCTAAACCCTAAACCCTAAACCCCAAACCCTATTCCCATCATGAAGCCCCCTATATTACAAAAAAAGCCTTCAGGGCTCGGGCACAGAATCGTGGTCAGGTTGAAAGCTACACCTCACTCTGTTTGGAAGGGTTTAGGGTTTAGGGTTTAGGGTTTAGGGTTTAGGGTTTCTTTGCCCCACCCGGAAAAGTTACAAACCCTAAATCCTAAACCCTAAACCCGCAAGCCTAAACGAAGCCCTAAATCCACCAGTCCTACAGCAAACTCCACACGCAGACAGCTCACCCTCTGAGGGTTTAAAGCTAGGGGGGTGTCGGTTTGGGACCGTGAAGGTTTCCCGGGCCTGCCAGGGTCTTTGCAAGGCCTTATGATGTTCAGGGTTTAGCAACTAGGGTTTAGGGTTTCTAGAGCTAATAGAGGGGCCTAAATAACTAACAATGCCATGTTGGGGGGCTCCTTATTTGAACCATAATATCATATACACCAAACCCAAACCTAATTGTTAAGGCCCCTTCATTATGACGTCAAAGCCCCGACCCCGCAGCCGCCCTGTGAATGCAGCCTACAACACTTTCCTAACCCTCAAGAAGCTCTCATGAAGCCTTGCCCGCATACAACTAGCCTCAACCCATCCTTACTTTGCAGTATAAGTTCCCTTAGAGTCGTCCCAGGCGTACCGAGCCCCAGCTGAGGCGATGACACCTTGCACAACCCGAGTGCCAAACAACAATCAACAAAGCCCTGACAACACCCCGACACCAACAAGACAAACCAACAACAACCAATGCCCAGGACCCCCCCCAAAAAAAAACTAAACCCTCCATACTGCCCTGACAAGCCACAACAGCAACCTCCTCGGCGGACCCGTTGCTAACTGGGTTTCCAGTCTGTCTTTGGGTCGGCCCTGTCAGATGACGGACTCGAGCCCGTCCTCTTGGGAACAGGGCTTGGGGCTTTCGGTTTCTGAACAAGGGGTGTGGGGTTTAGGGTTTAGGGTCTAGTTAGGGTTTAAGGGTTTACCTAAACCCTAAACCCTAAACCCTTTTAGGGTTTAGGGCTTAAGGGTTTAAGGGTTTAGGGTTGTTTAGGGTTTAAGGGTTTCGGGTTTAGGGCGCTCTAGGGCTGCCGAAGGTGCCTGCAATACGTGTCCAAGAGGTGTCTGAACGGCTTTGCAAAAGGGTTTAGGGTTTAGGGTTTAGAGTTGCTCATAAAGGTCTTGGGGTTGTGGGGATCAGTGTAAGGCGTTTGGCTTGCAGGGGTACAGGGTTTTGCTGTACATTATATCATACTACACTGTACTAGACTGGACCAGACTAGACTGGACTAGACTGGACTTTATTGTACTGTATTATCTTACATTATACTATAGTATATACTATAGTATATTTTACTACAGTGAATAAGATATATGATACGATGCTAATTTCTACGATAGTCTACTAGATTACTAGATTATGTTCTTCGTCCTTTCATGGTTTTGCAACCTGGAAAGCTGAAGGTTTAAGTCTCAGATCCCTTACTAGAGGGCGAATCCCGAACCGAAAAGCACAAAAAAAAGAACTCAAAGCAAAGCTCAGCTCAACACCAGAAACCCCAAAACCCTGAACCTAACCCCAAAACCCTAAACCTTAAGCCGAAAACCCCAAAACCCCAAAACGCTAAACCCTAACTCCAAGACCCTAGACACGCTGACATCACCAACCGACTCGGTCCTCCTGTCCCGGCTTCTCTTCCTGCAAACGCGGAGCTGTTGTACTGTTTAGGTTTCGACTTTAGGAGTTTGGGGTTTCGGGTTTAGGGTTTAGGGGTATCGCCAAAACAAGCAGTACTGATGAACACAACTTTAATGGTGTTGATAATCACAATAAAACCACAACGAAAAGCCTCGAAGCGCCCTTCAGGGTTTAGGGGTTTGGGGGTTCGGGGCGTTTAGAGTTGAGTGGTTTAGGGGTTTAGGGGGTTGGGAACCCTAAACCCTAAACCCGTAAAACCCCAAAACCCCTAAACCCGTAAAACCCTAAAACCTAGACCCTAAACCCGAAAAAAACCAAACCCCTAAACCCTAAACCCGAAAAACCCTAAACCCCTGAACCCGAAAAACCCTAAACCCCTAAAGCCTGAAACCTAAACCCTAAACCCATAAAAACCCCTAAACCCCTAAACCCCAAACCCTGAAACCGAAACCCTCAAGGCTTTTGTGCTTTGTTAGGAGGTCCTGAGAGCCCGGCTTGCCCGTCCGTCCCAGCAGTACCTAGGTTCCCCAGTAGCCCCTTAATAATAAGGGTACCCTTTTTCCTACTATTTGGTTGTAATACCCTAAACCCTAAACCCTAAACCCCAAAAGAAAAAGGGCAAAAGGGTACTATTGGGGAACCTAGGCACGGACTCGCTCCGCTGCGTCTGGGGGCTCATGGATTCCTCTCGGAAGCTCTTCATGGTCTTCATCCGCTTCCTTTTTTAGGGTTGAGGGTTGGTTTAGGGTTTAGGGGTTAGGGTTTAGGGTTTAGGTTTTAGGGGTTTAGGGTTTAGGGTTTTGAGGGTTGGGGGTTGAGGGTTTAGGGTTGAGGGTTGAGGGTTGAGGGTTGAGGGTGGTAATGATTTGGGGTTTAGGGTTAAGGGTGATAGTGGTGTAGGGTTTAGGGCTGAGGGTCACAATGGAGGGTTT